GAAACGATCGCAAAGGAACTCACTCTATTTCCTGTCCTGCTTCTTGTATCTATAAATGTCTCTGAATCTGCATGTCTTTTTTCCTCCTTCCCCCAAGTCCCAGAGAAATGACTATTGTATCCCTTATACATCCTGTGCCCTTGCTGCTCCATCAGTTACCACCCTCCCCGCAAATCTTCAACCTCCTTCTTCACTTATATTTTTTCCTCAGTACATAAACATGTGCTCACATCCTAAAACAATGACAACATTAATAACAAAAACCTTCATCCTTTACCCCATGTCAGTTGTTGTCAACCTTGGATATGTATTAGAATCCCCAGGGAATCTCTGAAAAAATTCTGATACCTGGGGCCCAACTCAGGTCAAGGGGATCAAAATCTTTGAAGGGTGCAGCCCAACTATTGATATTTTTTAAAGCTACTCTGCTGATTCTAACCCACAGCTAGGGTTAACAAAAGTTGGCCTACATGATCCTATATCACATTCTCCTCTCTCCTTAATGGCCAGTCTACTATAACTCTTTATTTCTATTAAATTTTTAAAGAATTTACAAACAGCTAGTGGAGGGTTAAGGTATATTTATTGATGGAACTGGAAGAGGTTGGTAAAACATTAGATGTCCTGGTATAAACAACTGGTGCTTAAGCTATTAGTGCCATTTATTAAAGTGAGAAATATTAGAGTGACATCAGCAAGATGGCCTTCTAGAAGAACCTACCGCGAGTCTCTCCCACAAAGACAGACAAACAAACAAACAAACTACATTTGGACGAAAATAACTAGAGAAGAATGAATAAACATCTACAAGAATACATCAAAGGTGTAACAGAAAACCCAGTGAGCATAGAAACTCAAGATAGCCACACAGAGAAGGAAACACCCAGCCTCCACCACCGTGTCCCCCAGCCAGGCTCAGCTGGGAACCAGGAGGAACTTCTCCCCGTAGGGAAAGAGCTACTTGATCGCCTGCTCTGGAGATGTCATTATCAGGAGTCACAACTGTCCAACATTATGCAAATGAGCTAGACATCTGCAAAGCTTGTGAACATTTTGCTTCTGGATGTTGTGCAAACAGAAAAGACTACAAGTCTCTTCAGAAGATGCTTTCACTGAAAACCATCATCTCCTCTTCAGTCACCCTAAGAGCATCAACTATGCTGTGTTTGAGAACTGGAGCCAAATACTGTAAAGGTGACTCTGTGTTGAGCTCTAGCCATAGCACACAAGTTTCACAAAATGTCCCCTCACTTCCCACAGGTAAATCGTCCCTACTGAGGACACATATTGAGTAGGTCAAGTGGCAACTTCGTGAATGCTTCCTGCTGCTACCCAGAAGTGAACTTGTGCCCACCAATCTTTTATCATTTTAATTCCCCACAGCTGAAGAGATTGGCAAAACTCAACAATAATCTGCACTTTTTAAAATTAGATACTTTCAACATTGTTTCAACACATTTTCTACCTGTAGGATGCAAGTTGTTTCATAAAACTGTCCTATAGTGCTGTCATTTACTGTTAAGTTACCATGTGCACATAAGTTATTTTTATCTATAGGGCAGTGACACTGACATCTCCTAGCTATGGATGTGTCTAGTATCACGAATTCACTCATGAACATGGCCTGAAATAAGAAGTACATATACATTGCAAGAACCACCTTATGACAAAGAAGTTCAATGCCTTCAACAGTAAATACCATATTAGCAAGGAATTGCTTTTTGTTAAACGGTTTTAACCATTCCAACAAAGACACAGCATATTCAGGATTAATCTGCTTCTTATAACGGACATGGCTGTATTCTGTTAATAGCTTTAGGGCCAGATTGGAAAAGTCAGTCTGTCTAACAAAAAAGCATCAAGTGAACAATTTCTAGGTTAAGAAAAGAGCAATTCTATTTGACCTTATATGCAGCATTCAGAACTGAGGCTGACATCTCCACTATGCTAAGTCATGCTGTGTTCTTTAGTTACCAAAATGTTCTTGGAGTTTTTCTGAACAACCTGCAGACCTCCTGTTCAGGCTCACAATGGTATGGCATATGATCGAAAAAGAAAAACACCTGAGATGAATTCCTAGCATGGTACCAGGTCAGCATCATATTAGAACTGGAATCCATGTTACTTTTATAACCTGAAAAAGAAAGGATAAATTTATTTTCATTTTGAAAGAAAACATATCAAATTTACTATTTTTGTAAACTATAGGAAAGTACAATGAAGAAAATAAAAATCACTCAAATCCATCCACAGAAAAGCAGCTGACATTCTGTGCAACTTTCGAGACACCTTTTGATGCAGACGGCAGTGGTTCTCAAACTTCAGCATGCATCAGAATTAACTGGAGGGCTTGTTAAAACAACTGCTTCTGAGCCAGTAGTTTTGTGGTGAGCCCAATAATTCGAATTTCTAACAACCTCCTAGGGGATGCTGATGCTGCTAGTCCAGGGACCACATATTGAGAAGCACTGGTATGAGGTTTACACATTGGCTATTCTAAGTAGGATCTCCAATCAGCAGTGCTGACATCACTTGGGAACTTGTTAGTAATGCAGAATCTCAGGCCCCACCCCAGACCTACCAAATCAGAATCTATAATTTAATAAGATCCCTAAGGAATTTGTAAGGACACGTTTGAGAAACACTGGTTTATATTTTGAGCCTCATATGGCATAAAATATAGATCCCCCCAACTTCCTTGAGGTGTAGTTTACACACAATAAAATTTGCCATTTTATAATGTATAATTTGATGAGTTTTTACAAAATTGTACAAGATAGTTTTGTATCCTTTTTTCTTTACCCAACGTAATGAGGACTTTCTTGTGCTATTAAGTATTCTGGGAAAACATGAAAAAAAAATAAGAAATACTAAAAGAAAATCAAGTTTGTAGGGGAAAAAAATCAAGAGGGAAGTTTAGATGTGTTGAGTTCAAATGACTATAAAAGTATATCTAGAATTTTAGGCAGTTACCTGTACTTAGTTGGATAAATACGGCTATAGCTCACCATGAACTTAGAACAGCACCAATTTATTCTCTCCAGCAATGTGGAGTAGCCATTAAAAAGGTATAGAGAAGGTGGATAGTGGACACTTGGTTTCATTAAGATGAATGTAATGGAAGGTCATGGGGCAAGGGACTGAACATTTGAAAAAGAAGTGATTGTAATAATAGACTATAGACTATAGGTTGGTGGGGAGTGGTTGGGAGTTATTTGAAATGCAGAAAAGTAGAAAACAAAACTATCAAATAGAGGATAAAGAGCCCTGCCCAGACTCTAACAGGAGATTAGATGGCTTTCTGTCCACAAGAAGCATTATCTTGGGTGGATCAGGTTAAAGGGGGAGAGAGAGGACTTTGGAGAGAAATATTCCACTGAAGCTAAAATGAGATGTGCTAAATAATCCCTGACCCAGCCAGAGAACACTTCTATGATTGAAAAATGTATGCCCTAAAAATTTAATTTGTCTATCATTGTGTCAATTTGCATCTTACAAGAAGACTCCAAGATGAAAATAAATGTGTGAGAGATTTATTGGGGGAAACTCCTGTGAAGAAAAAAGGGGAGAAGGAGCAGGAGTCAGTGGGAAGAGTCATTGGACCATGATGCAGATCTGACACTTGTGAAAGAAGAGACTGAAAGAAGGAAGGATTGATTAAGAAGAGCCTCAGACTGCAGCGCAGCTAAGCTGATGGGGAATGAAAGAGCAATGATTGCCTATGAATGGAGTCCTGCACTGGGCAGGAATAGCCTGGCTTGAGTGCCCCTCTGTGCTCAGTCATTGGCTGGAATAGTGAGAAGAGAGTACAATGTTAGCATGAAACTGGTGGATCCCAAAGATGCAGCAGCTGTAGACCATCAGCATGTTCTTTCACGAAGGGAGATCTGAGAAGCACAACCTCATGGCTTCCATACTCCTAGAGAAATGCCCCCAAATCCTGGCTTTGTATGTTCCTCTTCTTGACCTCAGGCTGACTTTTGCTTTTCTGTTTATTGCCAAGAAACAATACAATTGGGTTATGTTCTTGTCTTCTAAGTTATGCACATATTCTGTCTTTCTGGGATAAACCTTTTCACCCTAATGAAGCCTTTATGTGTTCTCAAACTCCTCATTACACATTCATAGACAGACTCACAAGCAGCCAATCATATTCATTGTGTATAAATTTCAAAAGTTTAGCCAATTTATTTACCATTTCTATGGAGCATTTTATTGTTTTTTCACCACTGCCAAATTCTACTCCCAAAATATGCTTATATATTATATATTTTATGCTTTCTGGTTTATTTTAGGCAAGCTACAATAATCACTAAATACTGCATGTTCTGTTGTATGTCCTCAAAGTCAGGCATCTTGAAAAAGTAGTCTATCCTTTTTCTCTCTCCTTTCTCAGTCCAACACAGAATGGTTCCACCTTCATCACTCCAGTGGAACAGTCATGTAATGGTCCCAATGACCTGACAATCCAGTAAGCATTCACTTCTTGTATGACTGGAGATTTTGATACTGCTGCCTCTTCCCTTCATCAAGGCACTGTCTTCTACCTCTCTCTGTTCTTTCTCAGCTTTCCAATCATGCTGTAAATGCTGGTATTCCTCAGGGATCTATCCCAAGTCCTTTCTTTTAGGTCTATGAATTCTCTCTGGCCAAGCTCATTCTCACTCAGGATATCAAATACCTATTTTCTTTTTTTCTTTTTGAAATTTTAGTGCCATTTTGTGTTGCAAAGCTTTATTTACATAGTTCTTCAGAATATATTTCAGTTGTTCACCTACTACTCCAAGTGTGAAATGCTATCAAATAGATTAAATTTACAGGAAAGCATAAAACAGAGAAAACAATTCTACTATTTGATATACACAGTGACGTTAGTGGTTGTCACTTTTATAGTTTTCTTCTGAGGATATTTTTTTGCTGATAATGTTCCAGAGCGAAGATGTCTTCAAGAGTAGATTTCCACAGAGAATCAAAAGTATAAAAGTCCAATATATTTTATAGGTATTATTTGACAATTTATAAGTAGCTGCAAATCATTTCTTTCCCCATTTTTTTTCAAAAGTCTCAGAAGACGAAGAATCATGACTTTCACCACTACTATAGCGTTCATATAAAGTTTTATCAACTTTCAAAATGGAGTTAGGAGAATTCAGACCAACAAGTTGTCCCAGAACATATTTCATTTCTTCAGTGGTTCCCTTAGCCACTTGGTTACCTGGATGAGTTTGAATTTGAACATATGGATGTGCCAGGAGCTCAGGAATGGATATCCTCTGTTTAGGGTCCCTTATTAAACAACACTTTAAAATATCTTGAAGATCTTTCTCTGGGATATCAGGTAATTCAATTTCATGATTAGGGTGAATTATGGCATGTGATTTAGAAATCTGATTAATTCAGGCCAGCCCGGTGGCGCACTGCTACAGTGCGCTGCTTGGGAGCGCGGCAGCGCTCCTGCCGAGGGTTCGGATCCCACATACAGACCGGTTCCCGCTCACTGGCTAAGCGAGGTGCGGGCGCAACACCGAGGGTTGCGATCCCGTTGCTGGTCCCGGTCCGGTAAGGGTGCGACACTGAGGGTTGCGATCCGTTGCCGGACACAAAAAAAGACAAAAAGGAAAAAAAAAAAGAAATCTGATTAATTATATGCTGAAATGGTGTTTTCCCATAAGTCATGTAGTATAAAATGCATCCTAAAGACCAAACATCACTTTTGGGGCTTATCATTTTTTTTTTCTTTTTTGTCTTTTTTTGAGACCGGCCGCACCGCACTCAGCCAGTGAGTGCTGTGAGTGCACCGGTCATCCCTATATAGGATCAGAACCTGTGGCGGGAGCGCTGCTGCGCTCCCAGCGCCACACTCTCCCGAGTGCGCCACGGGCTCGGCCCAGGGGTGTATCTTTGACTTGGATTTCCCATTCTCTCTTGAGGAAGACATATCTTTGATAGCTTCTGGTGGCATATAATTAACCGTGCCAACTTGAGAATCTTTAATGATACTTGTTGTATCCGGTTGCATTTGGTTTGCAATCCCAAAATCAATTAGCTTTAGCATTCCATCAACTATTAGAAAGTTAGCAGGTTTCAGATCACTGTGAACAATGCCACGTTGATGGATTGTGTGAACTGCCTCCAACATATTTGTCCAGTAACTCTTGCACTCCCATGAATTGATAAATTTTTTCTTTTTAAGCCAACTATTAAGATCAATATTTCCACACTCCATTACCATGTAGATGTAGTGGTCTGTGATTTCATAATCATAAAGTTGGATGATCTTATCACTATGTTGTTGCAGTTTATTCAAATAAGCTATTTCGTTCCAGTAACTATCAATAGTTTGGCTATCTGCTTCTTCTAAGTTCACATATTTTATAGCATATATGTTTCTTTTCATTCAACACCTGAAATACCTTACTTGAACCTCCACTTCCTATCTGCTTTAATACAGAGTAGATTTTTCCTTTAACTGAAATGCATTCATTTGTTGAAGAGGATGCTGAAATCCCTTCATCCCTTCCCTTCGCTGGAAGATCTCTGTGTACCTATAAATGCCTTGAGCAGATGGAGTGCTGAGGACTTATTCTGAGCTGATAAAGAAGTTGAAACAAAAGCTCCTGATTGGCTGATTAACCAAGTTGAAACAAGGTCTGAATAAAACTCAAATCCCTATTTTCTGATGACTCCCCAAATCTGTGTTTCCAATACAGACTCCTCTCTAGAGCTCCAGAACCAACCACAATTAACAATTATTTGGCCAGCTGACCATTCCATAAGTATCTTTCTTTACATGTTACAAAGGTAACTCAAATTTAATCATTTTAAAATCAAACCCCACATGTTTGCCCTCATCTTCCCTCCTGTTATTCACTATATTGGTAAATATATCCACCTGTTGCCCAAAACATAACAATAGAATGACACTAGATTCTCTCCCATCCCCCACCCCACTCACTGAGTCCAATCAAACACCAACCCTAGATAATTCTAATTGATATGCTCTTCGCCATCCCAACTGCAATTACAATGATGAGGAACCAGTAATTTCCTGCTTTTTACAGAGCAATAGCCTCCAAACTGGCATCCCTAACTCCAGGTGTGACCTTTGTTATCTCAGAAGTGATTATTCTCACAGGCAAATCTGTTACTACTCAGAAGTCTTCAATGTCTCACCATCAAATACTGCTTACCATGCCACACATAGCCCTTCGTCACCTTGCACTTGAAAACGTGTCCAACTTTACCCCCCTCTAGTCTCACTTTAGCTCTTTGTACTCTGTTTGACCCGAACTGCTTACGTGGGAGAACTCACCATGTTCATTCTTACCTGCGCTTGTGTACGTGCTGCTGCATCTGCCAACCTGGACAATGACTCTTCACATCCCACATAGATTAGGTGCAATCCCCCTCGATTTTCCTGCTATTTCTTTCACACAGCTTCACTGTAGTCTTTACCATTGTCCTGTAATTTTTGGCATGTCTTCTCCCCATCAAACATGACACTAATTAGATGCAGGAGTTATGTCTTTTAATTGATATATTCCCAGAGCCTGGTACAGTGGCTGGCATTTAAATGCCTGATAATGTCAGTATTTGAATGAACACATGAATGAGAATGAGTTCAAAGAATTCAGTCTTGAAGATTAAAAAAAAAAAAAAGTTAGCATGTTCTCTCCTAAGTTTTTCTAAAACAGTGCCTGAAGAGATCCAGGAGAATAAAATGTTGCAGAGTAAAAAGTCCTGCAAGCTGTAGGTGAGATTTTTTCCTCTGTTTACTAAAGTGCACAGATTTCATTCTATTACAGGCAACTTCAGAAGATTGTCTCCAACTACCTGTAATAGCTTCAATTGTATCAGAAAATTCCCAATACAAGTAGGGCGAGGAGGAGTTGAAAAACGTTGTTGTATGGAGCTTTTCACGCAGTGCTTTGTTATGTTTTAAATGGAATTTGGCCTGAAAGCCTTAAAAAATAATACCTTACATTCACACAGTACTTTAAAGTTTCCAAACAGTTTTTACACCCTGCTATTTATTCAGTATTCAAAGTACCTCAATGAGGTAGTTATGACAAAGACAATCATCTTTCTATATACAACATAGGCTCTGAGAGGCTTTGAGTCTTGCTCAAGGCTGATAGTTGCTATGTGTGGAAACGGAGCTGGAATGTACGACTTCTGTCTACTAAACTCGTAGTCTTTCTCTTATCTTCGCCACCTCCTTGGCATTTCTGTCGGCTGGGCACATACAGCTGTGGGCTGTTAGTCGCTCCCCAGCTCAGTTGAATTCCTGCAGTGCTAATCATGATTCTAAGTTTACAGGTCAATGTCCAGACCATAGATAGATGTTGTAGGAGTTCCTTCATTTCCCAAGTGTTTTTCCCCCAACAGCCGTCCCAGCTGCCGTAGCTGAGGCCGTAGCTGCCAGCTCTAGTTATTGACACCAGCAAACCCGTTCATTGATTATTGCTCTCAGGTTTGCATCTAGGCTTTAGACCAGCATTTGGTGGTTTGAGTTCCATCTTCCTGGATGTGAAACAACTATCACAACAATATATTTTTAAAAAATAAGGATAAACTGAAATTCTTAAATTCTACAGAGAGAACTAGAATATTTATTGTCCATTCATGGAAGAATTCTCTTAGCCCACATTTTTCTATACCCGGCTAAATTCAGCAGTGGATGTGTTTTGTCTGGATTTCACAGTGCTTTAGAAAGCACTAAGAATTTGGAAGATTTTAGGCAGAGTATGCACTCTTCATCATAAGTCATGTATTGCACATCTATGGCCCCAGAAGATATTTGAGTTTGCAACCCCTGTCTATATTAATATATCTCATTAGGTAAAAATAACAGCTAATATTTATCAAGCACCTTTTATGTACAAAGCACCATTTTCAAAATACTGCAAATATAAGTTCATCTAATCTTCACAACAAACTTTTAACAGGTAGGTCACTCCTACTGGTAGGTACTATCTCATCATCCCCATTTTACAAATGATGAAATAGAGGGACTAAGAGTTAAGAAACTTGCCCAGTCATAAGTTGGTAAGTAGCAGAGCTGGAATTCAGCCCCAGCCAAAGCTCTATGCTCAGGTGCCTGGATACAATGTCAACTTTTGTGTGATCCATAAAAAGAAACAAAATTAGATCATTTGGTCAGTAGGCATCAGAGGAGGTCAAAGTCCTAAACAGTTCTTCTAAATGAAAAGAGAGCTAGGTAGCCTTTGAATAAATGAACTGAGAATGCCGTGTTTTCATATGCAACATTAAGAATGCACCTCTTTGGCCACTGAAGATTCTGAGGGCCTAATAAAGATGTATCTCTTGCTTCAGTCAAGAAAATGAGAAGGGCACATGGAATATAGTGGCTTTGAAAAATCTATTGAATGCAGTGTGTCTCATTTTTGTACTTTGATTTTGTAAAAATGTAGATTAGTAGGTTATATTGGCAGGAGTGGGTGGCTTTGCTCTGCATTTTCCTACTTAACAATTCTACTCCTCATTGCCAGCCCTTCATATGAATGCTCAGTTACACAAGAGTTGAATGTGATTCCCAAGAAACCCTTAACAGTCAAGCTGGGGAATTGTATGCGGTCCTGGGAAAGGAAGAGAAACGACAGTAATCCTTCCCCCAATATATGGCTTTGAAATAATTATGCTATTGTTCACCTGTATGCAGTTTTAGAATGAGAAAGAAGAGATATGAGGGGTCTTTAAAAAGCTCATGAGAGTTTTTTAATTCAATTTTTCTGCGAACTGTTTGAATTACGCTTGTACCATTCAGATGTTTCTAAGTGTTAAGGTCTGATAGAGCACTATTCTAAGTCGGATCATAATAAAAATAAAAATAATAATAATAATGACAACACTTTGGCTATTGCATTCTCAGAGGTTTGTTGTTGACTCAGTCTGAGATATATATACATGTGTATTTACATATATAATATATACAAAATCTTCCACTTTATGACATATAGAAAGTAAAGGGTAGAAACATTACACAATTTGGAATTTTGTGCTCCTTATCCTTCCCACCTTATCTACAGTAAATCCTTTCACAAAAATATGTGACCAATAATTTTCATTTTTTGTTAGCCTATTGCTGGCTGACTTGGGTCCAAGCCTGGTACTATAGAGCCGCCAGTGTCTAGTTAAAAGTAATAAAGTCAGAGACAGGATGGAGAGCCATCATGTCCTAGGGTGAGAGCAATAGGACCCCAGAGCCCAGTACAAGAAGCAAAAGCATATTTGGAGCCAGGCCAATGTTATGTGTCAGGTCGGAGACCAAGAATGAGTAAAGGTGGTTGGGAAGCCCAGAAACCATGGACAAATTCAGGAGGAGAGAGGGACGATGATCAGGCAAGGAGCCAAGGCAGTGCTGGTTCATGGTTAAAAGTCTGTGTCTTGGAGTGAAATCTGGATTCCTATTTTCTTTCTTATTAGCTGTATGACCTTATGTTCACTGTTAACCAGAATGTGCAATGACTGAATAGTAGATTCTGCAATCAGGCTGCTTAGGTTTAATCTTGTTTTCCTACTACCAGCCATGTGATGACATGAGCAGGTTATTTAATCATTAGATATCTCAGCTGTGAGGCTGGTAATTATGGCAGAATCTTCCTCAGAAATGTGAGGACTGAGTGAATTAATATACAAAAATCCATTAGCATGGTAATTTCAAATAGTAAACTCGAATAATCATCACTCTCATCATTAATAATCTCTTTTGTGTTCCTGTTCCTACTCTATAAAATCAAAGTCATAATATCTATCTCACTGGTTTGTCGTAGGGAGGGAGGGAGAGAAGTGTGAAGGCCCCTGGCCCCTGAATAGCAGTCATGATTATTATCAGGCACATGAGGGAGAAATTGACTAACATAATCTCCCATAAGGGAGAAATTGACTAACATAATCTCCCATAAGGACAGAACTCCTTTTGAAAGACCCAGGATCCTGCCTGTAAATCACAAAGCAAATACACCAAGCCCAACATTTGAGAACAGCTCCCTTCCTTCCTCTTTCATCATGTTGAACACAATATCAGAAAATTAAAGAATATGAGGGGAAGGAAATGTAAAATTCTAAATTCAATTTCTGCTTCACACAAACAAGAACACAGAAGCCTGGAGAGAGAAGGTAATTTGCACAGTGCCACACAGCGAGTTTGTTACAAAGCTGATCCTTGAACTCAATAACTTGGACTCCTAGTCTAGTAACTATAACTACTCCACTATACCATGCTCATGCTCTCTTCTAAATTCTCACAATCCGTCTGGTGCTTCCCCTGAGGCTGAGTTAAGTTCCTTGAAGGGGCTTAGCTTAACTTTAGTGCAGAATCAACCTCTCCTGAGAAGCTACCCAATTGCTGTTTGCTGAGTGGTAAGTACACTGATAGTAATCAGAGTATAAAAAGAAATAATATAGTATTAATCAGAGAAACGTTATGCTACCACTGCAGAAACTAGGTCATATTTGTAGTTAATGCTACAACTATTTAAAACACTTTTAATGCCAATTTTCTGATGTATTTTCTTTTGTAATC